GACTATACAAGCCCAACGAAAGCATCCGCTCTGGAAGCGAATCTGCTTGGGCGCGAACACTTTCATGAACGGCTGCTCCATGCTGCGTGGAACATCGCTGATGGACACGAAAGCAATGAGCGCACTGATGGCAGAAGGAGTGGAAGGTTGCGGCGCACTTCTGTAATTAGCCTTCTTGCGTTGCTGCGTCCGAGGAAGTTAGCCAAGTGCGGAGAAGACTGTGCCCAGTCATGGAGATGGATCTGGGCTGCGCAGAAACCTTTTGGATTGCCAGTGCGCAGCTGGCTGAGATTGCGTGCCCCACTTCTTCGAATCGCCCCCAGTCCGTTTGCTTTTGCTCCCTGCAGCAGGCAGCAAGACGCTTGCGAGGTAGAAACAGTACGGGAGACATCAAGTGCAATTGTCAAAGCCCCAAGCAGACAGCCAACTGGTGCTGCCGAATCAATGGAGGCACTGGTCCGTATTCCTTTTAGCGCTCAATGTGTCGTTCGCATAGCAATCGAATTTGGTCACTGCACTGGTATCTCAGAGACTGCGACGACAAGCCAGACTGGTCATAGGCAACGGCTTACAGAAGAAGCAGCGCTTGCCTGCAGACGAATAAAAATTGAAGAGCCGGACGCAGCTCAGGCATATGTGGCCCCTCCGACTCCTGTCGGACGACACACATGTCTTCACTCACGGACGGCCATCGCTCACTCTACGCGTCGCTGACTCTCAGGAAGATCATTCCGCCGTTGATCACGACTTGGAGGAGCTTCTCGGAGGCGTGACGGGTGCCACTGCACCAGCGTGCTCTGGTCAGCATTGTCCGTCTGATGGTTTAGTGCCGAGTAGCCACAGAGGCACGCGGCACTATAGTAGTCTGCGTTTGCCAAAGCAGGGACTCCGCAAGGACAAACAATGATAAACAAGGTGGCGGCGCCTGCAAAGGGCCGGGCGCCCACCACACGTGAAGGGAAGAGACTCTGAGGTCAACTGTGTGTTTTCCCTGCAACGGGCCGGGCGCCCACCACACGCGAAGGGAAGAGACTCTGAGGCCAACTGTGCGTTTTCTCAGTGTTTTTGGTGGCTTCAGTTTTCGGAAAGTCCTCTCAAGTGCTCAAACTTACTGGAAGGGTCGCTCGAAAAGTCCGATTTGACTGTTCTGCTGGGGCGAAAGGCAAACTGTGAAAGGCCCACTCAACCTACCCAAAGTTTCGGGCTACCAAGTGTCCGTATTTTTCACGCTCGCACCTTGTCGCACGCTTGGCTTAGACTACACACCTTGCTGCATGCTTTGCCTATATCTGAGCGTGTATACCCCCCGAACAACAGAGCAAAAGATATCAAGCGCTTGTCTCACCAACTGCCCAAACAAAAACCAAACATAGATTTTGTTTCTGGCTGACATGCTGCCAAGAGCACTCGTGGAGGCGCTTGCGAGCAGTCTCGGGAAGTCACGGGGAATGCCGCGCGGGGTGCGGCAAGTCAAAACCATGCGGTGCAGGGACGATGGGGTGCAAGCGCATGCCAAGCAATCTGTCGCAAACCGCAAATGCGGCGGCGGCTGCAGTACAACTGGATACCTCCACGGTGTTCAGAATGTTTGTTTGAGCCGTCTGTGAGCATGAAGTGCTGCTGATGTCGTTGATTTGTTTGCGGATTTGCAACAAACTCCTGGCACGGGCTACACGACTATGCTAGGCTGTTGAGAAAACTGCCAAGTCGGCTTGATAGGCATTGAAGACAGACTCGTAGGCATCAACACACGTTTTCTTATGATCAGCTTCCCTCCGCTTGGGATTATTCTGCACAAATTGCATAAGATTTGGCTCACCCGTGATGAAGTTGTCGCACGTGTGTCCAGTTTCTGAATTGCTTTCAGTTTAGGGATTATGACAACTGGCTAAACTCCATACATGCTGAACACTTCATACAGACGACGGAGGCGGAGGTGGGCTTCTTGGCCCTGGCAAAGGCGAAGACCTTAAAAACTGGCTATGAACAATTCGGTTGCCAAGCCCACCTTGTTGCGCCTCGCTGTTCGGCCTGCAGTTTTTTTTCCATGGTTGTGGAAAGATCTGATTACAGTGCCATTTTTTTTTGTGATGACAAGGGAGTCCTCGTTAAAATCCACAAAGTAGCGCGGGTGGACATCGACCACTTTGGCATCACAGATCATGGGCCATTTGCCATTGTTTTTCCTGTTGGTTCTTGTGCAAAGTCATTTTACCTTCAGGGGTTTCAGCCGATTTCACTTGGTGGAAACGATGCCCCTGAGAAAAGCATCCCATATGACAATGCATCTCTCTCTCTCACTCTCTCTCTCTCTCTCTCGCTATGTATGCACATATGTACATACGTGCATGTGTATGGATGTCTGTAATGTCCGTATGTAATGTAATGTAACGTAACGTAACGCCATGCAATGTAATGTAGTGTAGTGTAGTGTATGCAATGTAATGTAATGTAACGTAACGTACCGTATTGTAATGAAATGCGCATGTATTTAAACATTCACCCCTGGTGTCTCTCCAGGAGGAGAGTGAAGAAGGTGTTGAGCCATCATATGGGCGTGTGCCGCAGCAAGCTCCCGGACTTTCAACCTGCCCGGCCCAGGCCCTTCATGCAACGGTCACAAATCGCGACGACGACCGGGCAAGCACGCTTGCCTTGTCGCGCCTTCCCGTTCACCATCCACATGCGGGACTCTGCCGACAAGCTCAGCGACGACCTGCTTTCCCTGCGGATCATTGCTGACCTTGTTCTTGATCCTGTCCCGCTGGATCTTCAGCTTGAGTGCATCCAATGACACCTGCTTGCTTTGGCGCATCTCTGGCTCGGCGATTGGAGTTGTGCCGCATCCGGGCACAAGGCTTGTTTGTGGTGGCGGCACCTGTAACGGGCCAGGCGGTCGTTGTGTTTTTAACAACTATTACCGCGCGCGCGCGCGCAGTTAACTCGACTTTCATCGACACTTCAAGCACACATGAGTCCCGCGTTTCCTTGGCTTGGTGTTGCTCTTGTATCTCGTAGGTCGTGCTAAAGTCTTTGATACACACGCAGTCCTGCCACTGTCTCCGTACTTCTCAGTTTGTCCGCTTTACCTGGACTCTTTGTTGGATCACCTGAACCGGCTGAGTGACCTCCAACCACATCGGTTCGTTGAACTGCAAATCTCCTTTGGCCAGTATGGCTTTCAATGCTGCAGGAGTCTTTGTCTCTTCCCTCTTCCGCAGCACCTGGTCTTGAGTTGTACTAGGTACTATCGATAAGACCTGAAGTGATCCCTATCACTTTGCATAGTTCAAAATATGCTTAAGTTCCTGGCCCCATCGATGTGTGGTCCTCTCATGTGCCTTTCAGCCCCATCGAATTTGTAATTTTATGAGTCCAAAGATGCTCCACGCCCATTGGAGCAAATTGCATGGTGCCCGATATCATGACAGGAACTCCCGTCGACCAAAATGGTGCAGGCAAATCTCTACAAGCCATCAAGTACAAGCAGAAACTCTTACAGGTCAGGGGCAATAACAAACACCAACAAGCATAAAACAAAAACACAAATAAATGACAACAAAGCCGATTCGAAACAGAACTAACGCACCTAACAACAATGCCAACCAGACACAACCACCAAAACAACACACACTAAAAGAAAGAAAAACAAAAAAACGAAACCGCCAACCCGAGCCGAGGCGCCGCAGGGGTGTGTGCGCTCAAAGGATCGCCACAGGTCCGCCACAGATTGGCAGTTGGAGAGGTACTCGAAGACCAGCACCTGGAGAGTACTTGGTTGATGTTTGTGCCGTGGTTTTGGGGCCCCTCAAAGTTCGCTTTTTGTGTTTGGTTTGGTCTGTTTGGGGATCATCAAGGCTCGCTTTTTGTGTTGAGTTGATAATGCTTGGTCTGTTTGGGGTTCCTCAAAGTTGCCTTTTGGTGCTGAGTTGACAATCTCAAAGTTGCCTTTTGTGCTTAGTTGACAATGGTTGGTCTTTTTGGGGCTCCTCAAAGCTCACTTTTTGCGTTTAGTTGATACTGGGAAATCGTTGGCATCCTCAACGTTCCCTTCTTGTGCTTAGTTGATGGTGGCTTGGCTTTTTGGTCTTCCTCAAAATGTCCTTTTTGTGTTTAGTTGCTAGTGGTTGGTCTTTTTGGGGTTCCTCAATGTTCCCTGTTTGTGTTATTTGATCATTGTTGGATCTTTGAGGCTTCCATCTTTCTGTTTTGCTAGTTGTAAGTATGTTTGGTGTATCGTTGCGTGGGCTTTGTGGCAATTGCATGTCTGCCTTTTCGTTGGGATCTGAAATCTCTTGTTGGCTTCGCCTTTGCGCCGCGTCTAAGTTGCCCTGGCAAACCGAGAAGTTGGCATGCTAGTCTGAGTTCATGGACAACACTTTGGAATGTGAAACCCTTAATCCTTGACCGGTGGCTCCTAATGTGGGTGTGTCGGTTTTTAGTGGACCCGCAAGTTGGTGTGTTTCCTTTGGGTTTCACTTTCAAGCCACAAACCAAGGGTAGCCTCAAAAACGACACATCCAGGTGTGTCGAGCAGAGGCTTCTCCCGCATCGTTCTAAGTGCACTTGTGGGTATATGCTTGAAGAGGCAAAGGCATAGAATATGTGGGTGATCTCATGTGGACTGGTGAGACCTTTCCGGACTTCACCGCTCCGGTCCGAAAAGTCGATCCTGGGAAACCACACCATTTCAACAGGGGCCAGTACATGTGCAACCCCAATACTCTCTTGTTTAAAGGCACAATCATTTGACATGGCCATGAAACTACAATGGTTTATCCGTCGAAAACCAGAGGTTTGCTTGGAAGGACCCTCGACTCCCACCTGCCCTCGCTTTCTGGCCTCGCAAACGAGCAGGCCCGTGCGGTCCTTGCACAAGAAGGCCTTGTCCGGGAAGAGCACTTGGGGGTCCTGCAAGCATAAACAACATGGCTGTGGGTCAAAAATATGTACCCAATATGGAACCGGGTAAATGGAAACTTGGACTACAACCTGCGGTCCCCCGGTGGTTTAATTTTGACCCACACCCACATGAGACCTTTGCCGGATCAGGGGCTCCGATGTGAGGCTGAGGCTCCTGCAGGAGTCTTTCCCTCTTGATCTGAGAGATTTCACACGCTTGCTACGGTTTGCGGCCCCTGCTTGAAACATCCCCAATAAGGTCCAACTCATTTGACAAGACTTCATGCATTTTTGAACATCCCAAACGCGTTCTTCCCCCACAGAAAACATGAATTCTGACAAATGTTGAGCCTTCATGTCTGACTTTTGAGAACTCCGCTGCTCATTGAAGTGTCGCAAGGAGACCGCGGATCCGGAGTGCTGTCTTGACGAAAAAAAACCTCGAAAAGTAGATTCCTCGAACGAAACATGGACATGTGAGCTTTTCTTATCATATTCCAGGCCCCTTTTGGAACCCCAAGAAGCCCTCAGCATCTTCCGCGGCAAACGCCACATGCCAGTCCTGGGGCATGGTGGGGAAGACCTTCCGCAGCCTTTGGGCCTCCAGCACCTCGCTGAAGTTCCCGCCCGCGCCCCCATGAGGCCTGCCGGCGCTCGGGCACTGCACCTCCGGACCTCTGCTCCCCGTTTGACGGGAAAGGAAACCCGTTGACCAAACAAAAGTGGGCTCCACTGTGGACCAATGCCACAAGCTCCCCTCCCATATGAATCAGTCTAATGAAGAAGATGTCTGCTTCCCTCGAACCAGAACCCACCCAGTCGAAAAAGCGGGCCGGGGTATATAGCCTGCATATTTTGGTTTGTAGTTACATGCCCCATTACCCAAGTCACATAGACGTGGGTCACAGAATACTTTGTTGTTCGGCAGATCATTTAACTGCATGGGGCAACCCGACGTACCCACGTGCCTCGCGGAACCCTTGCCTTGCTCTGGCTGCGCATCGGTATTGGACTTGCGATTTCAGCAGTCAGTATTCACCATTTTTGAAGTCATATGGGCACACAAATTATATTGAACATGCCTCATTTGGCCTTTGGCCACGCTAAGAGAGCATCATCTGAAGGAAAATAATGCGACTCCCCTCTTGCTTGGTGTCTGTTGTTGGGACCCGTTGGTGGACATCGTTTGCGTGGATATTTATGCCCACCTACCATGTTTTGAAGGTATGCCCTGTTAACGTTCATGGTCATCTGCATGATGAACACTTCCGACAAGCCCGTAAACAGGGTACTTCTTCGCCCTGTTAAAACTGATTCAAACAAACCTGAATAAGAGGTCCCATCCCCCTGTGGGCTCATTTTGCTCACGTTCCCGGAAGAACCCGGCCTGATGCACTTGGCCAACTTGCCACCCAGCTCGATCATGAAGACCTCGCAGCCGAGGCAGGAGACATGTTCACAAGAAACAAGTAAATACATATATATATATATATATATATATATATAATATATATATATATATCACATATTATACATTTATATACAAAACGGGCCTCCATGGGGCCTGCTAAACAGATATATATATATATACATTTATACATATCATCAAACCAAACTGGGTGCATTTCTTTGGTTAGGGAAAAAGTCACTTGCCGCGCGGGTCCTCAATGACTCAAATTGGGGTGGAACCTGCCATAGGTTGGAGAAATATAAAGACCATGGTCCATTCAAACAAAAAGAGGCCTCTTATGATACCCGGTGTTTTAATTTTTGGATGCTCCCACAATGAAGGCATCCAACCCTTCTGCGCCGTGCAAGGCGGGTCGTTTTGCTGGGGCTGCGGGCATGGTTGAAACCGCTGCACTGCAGCCTGCGGGCGCCCTCCGCACTCCGACCAAAGATGGCCTTGACCCCCGCCTCAAAGCACAGCGAGCCGCAAGCGCGACGGGCGAGGCACGCCCGGGGGTGGGGGCCTATTTTGGACCAGCTCCAACCTACCTCATTTGTTACCTACCAAACATCCCATGCTTGGTTCTGGTCTATAGTGAACATGAGCATGTACAAAACAGAGATCCCAGCAAGCTTTGACATACGCTCGCAATAATGTTGGATTTGTCATTAAATCACACCACTGAGAGGAAACTCACCAAACAGTATAAGCGTGATGATTGTTTTTATCCAGCTCAAAAGGGAAATGTGGGGACCTATGCTTGAGAAGGCCTCATCATGGGCCTAGGTGTTGGGCGTCGGGAGCCTGTGAAGAGGGAATTCGGCAGGCTTGCAAATTGAAAACGGTCCTGTAATTCCAACACAGGCTTTTCGGAACAAACTCTTGCCGGGGTCCTTCCCTTCTTCGTGGGTTCCATCTTGGGGGCGCCCAAGATTTGCTCAAGGCGCCAACAAGAATCAATATAATTGGTTGGGGGGGGACCCGCAATCTGGGTGCCCCCCGGTGGGTGAGGTCACGATCCAATTTGTCTACATTGATATATATTTATCAGTCATGCCCAGACCCAGCTAAGATCCAAACTGAAGTTGAATAGGGTACACGTTGTTTAAGGACAGCTGGCGCACATTGCTTTGTCTTTCAACTACCGCCAGCGAATGGTCAGAGTATGTTTGTATTGCAAGACAGGTTTCAATCCTACACTGATGCCATTTGCCCAGGGCACAGGTTCACTTGCATCCAGAGTGGACAGAGGAGAGCGTGCTACTGAATTGTCTTCATTTTTTGGACATGAATCTGAATTGGGGGTGTTTGTGCGCCAGAGAGTTGTCAAGTATTGCTCGAATCCCAGAAAACTTCCTTGGATGTAAGCAAGAGCGAGGCAATATCCAGAGCCAGAAGACCTGAAAGGCTTCTGGCTACAATCTCTTCTGGGTCCTGTCGATGAATAAAGACGGGGAATTGCAGAAATGATGTTGTCTTCCTTTCGTAAATGTCATCCACACGCATAAAGACAAAGAAAGGCAACCCATGCAATACCTGCACCACTCGGAATGAGCCCATCCCAAGTCCTGTCCAGCACATCAGTTTAGTTTCTGGACTCTCAAACCGCCCATAATCGCAGTCTCCAGAAGAAACAAGTAAAGGTCCCCCCAAAGTGCTAAAGGAACCTCTGGCGTCCAGATTCAGTTCATGCGGCTCCAAAGTCTTCAGGATTCGTCGGCTTCGCCAAGCGCCCAGCGGATCCGAAGACGTTCACCAGGGAGGTCGCCAGCTCGCCGGGCGGGGCTCTGATCACCTGAGAGCAAGCCGGCTGCGCGGGGCGGAGTCGGCCGTGAAGTGTTGCACGAGTTGGACCTTCAGCGCTGCCCTTTGGCGCCCCCTTTGGGCCTGAACTCATCTAAACTCCATTGCAATGTGCGAAAAAAAAGACACAAGCAGCTGAGCTCAAGAACAGAGGGACAAAAGTAATCGGGACCGCATCAAACATGGATGCTGATCATTTGGCTGCGCGGTTCCCCAAAACATGGGTGGATTCCCCAAGGCGTGGGCGCTTATCACTGCGTGCTTCAAAATCGCGTTCCTGAAAGCCTGGATGCTAAGCGTTTGGCTGGCTGGATTTCCGCAAACCGTTTGGCTGCCTGAATTTCCCCAAACGTGGGTGGATTCCTCATTTTGCTATACATCTGAAACATCGACAAGCTCTCAAACACAAGGGCGTCGTCTGCACGCCGCATTCCAACTACAAACATGATTCTTCCAGGAGTCTGTCTCAAAATTGGGCCCGCTTTTTCGGATAGTGTTAATGAGAAACTAAAAGGAATCCAACCGCCTCAAAGGCACCATAATGTGAGAAAAAACACCCATGGTCGTGAGGCAGTTGGTTCTCATCAAAACGGGGGCAACATTTGGGGCCAAATCACTACAAACATGATATCCTGAATTTGGATTCATCATACCCTCGTGATCTTTGGGCCTCTTCTGTTCTCCGTAATGATGACCGCCTGGAGGAAACTCAGCGTGCTGACCGCAGCATTCTACAGCCTGGCCACTCTGCCAGGCTTGCTCGGGTGGCAAGGCACGCCACGTTGCCTGCATGTCCTTCAAGGCAACCACAGCCTTCTTCGCAATCAAGAAGGCACCAGGGTCAGCGATAAGAGCCGGGCAGCTTCCACCGCCCACCAGGCCAGGAGGTGTCGAAGCCCGTGCGACAGAAGAATATCAGCATGAGATTGGAAGAAACACTCATCCAAAGAATAAAAGGTTCCGTAGACGGACATGACTTTGTTTATCACCGTGAAACAAACGTTAGGCCAAGCCAGTTTGTTGTTCAAAGCTAACTAGTGACTTGCTCCCCTCTGAGCCATGGTAAAGAGCGGAGTTACCTGCTCATCGAAGCTCGTTTAGCAAAGTCGCCTGACCGAAACTGATTTAAGGCATGCATACCCTCCTACAAAGAAACATGGAAGACCACAGCGCCTTTCTGGCGCTGTTCCCGACTCTCGATTCCGATATGCAAGGTGAGGCGATTCAACCCCTTCAACAAAACCTTCTGAGTAGCTCCAACCACATCCAAGCCCGACTCGTTCCTAGTTCCCAGCGGCCATAGGACCCTGCAAACCCTCCTTTGAACACCACCCAAACCTGTATTCCGTAGCCCCCGTCTGGTATCTGCAATGGTTGCTAGTTGTTGGCCTGCAGTCTTTGGCATCTCATTTAGCCGTGAGGCTGTTTGGTTTTCGCTAACTTGTTTGCTGAGCGGATTGGTCCAAACCTGCTGTTTACCACTGAATCTGTTTTCCCAGCAAACTTAGCGAAAGCTTGACGCCCAGAAAAAGGCGGAATTGATTGAGTCGCCGAGGTTCCATGAATAAGAAGCCTTACAATTTGTTGTCTAAACACTCTAAGAAGCTGATGTCTGTCACTACCAACCTCAAGAGCTGCTTTAACCATAATGGGGCAGAACAATAACGATGGCGATGTGCAGTCCAACCAAACACCAACCTCCAAACTCGACTGTCTTTGGGGAACGGATCCTTCCAGCCATTGCTAGTTCTCAGTAGAGAATTTTAAGGGTTTCGGAAATGAATCTAGATCCTCTAAAAGGAATCCGCAGGGGATGATTCAATTCATTCCAAAACCTGCTTCTCA